CATATTTTAAAATTACCAGAAATCAAAGCCGGAAAATGGATACTGTGGCTTTTATTGCCAGCCCGAGCTGCATTAACACAGCCTGTAATGTGGGGAATAAAAACAGCCCCTCCCCCTTCTCCCCTCCCTCTTTTTTTTTTTTTTTTTGAGACAGTAATAGGAGAAAATTGGTTTTGAAACTGAATAAAAGTCCCTTTCAGAGGAAATCATTTCTTTCACGGCACCTTTGCTGAAAATAAAATAGGGATAATGAAAGGTAGTTCTGTGATTGTCTTTCATTCCTGGCAAGTGAGCGAGCAGGGCTAGGACAGATGGGAGCCTCAGCCCGTCCGTCTCAGCTCGTCTCGGGCTCGGGAAATACAAGATTGCAGTAATTGCCTCGTAACAAGGAGCTTGTTGTGAAATTAGTATCTTAAGGAAGTCGTGGAAAAAAAAGGCTTTTCCTCATGAATACTTCATTATTAGCGGAGAGCCTCACCATTTCAGGCTGCAGACACCTGTTTAGTATTAAATAACTTTGCTTTCTTTCCCCATCCCCACCCCCACCCGCCATCTCCCACTCCTCACTCTTCTTTTTACCCAAAACTAGGATTATATTTACGGAGCTCTGCTGTTGGGAACACCAAGTTTTCAATTTCCATCATTCAGATTCCTTCATTTTGTTGGGGCTTTGGGTCGGGAAGAGGGAGACTGGCTGAGCCCCCTGGGGGGCTTGGGGAAGGGGCTTTCCAAATTTGCCACACATAGCTTTGACTAGGAATCCCAGTACCTAGGCAGGGGTGGGGAACCTGTAGCCTCGAAGCCACCTGTGGCCTTCTGGGTCCTTGGGTGCGGCCTTTTGACTGAGTCCAAGTTTTACAGAACAAATCCTTTTATCAAGGGGATTTGTTCTGTAAAGGGCCTCACTAGAGGACCTAGAGGGCCACGAGTGGCCTTGATGCTGCAGGTTCTGAAAGGGGCAGGCGGATGGATAATGGCCTGCACAGGCAGTCCCTGGGAGAGGTGGTCTGAGTGAGGGCTTCAGGTAAAGGAAGAGGCCCACCCCTGCTCCCTGACCTCTGATGACTTGCTACAGGTCAGAGGAGGGGCACAACATACAGGGATGGCAGTCTCCAGATGGTTGTGATAAGGACGTGCTCCCTTGCCCTGGATGTCAGAACACGGGGCAAAGCCCCATGCGTCCCACCCTAGTCACAGTGTGGCCACTAGCGTTTGCAAAAGCGGCATCGCCAGGCCTTGAACATAAGACTTAGAGCCAAAAAGGGACCCCAGATATCACTTAGTTCACTCCTTCAACTTATGGATGGGGAAACTGAGTCACAGGGAGGGGAAGGGACTTGCTTAAGCTCACCCAGCTAGTAAGTGGCAAACCCCGAATCCAGGCCTTCTGCCTGCCATCCAATCCCCCCTCCCCCAGACTGAGGTCCCTGCCCATTGGATATCAGAATCAGAACGCCGGAAGGGTCCTGTCAGGCCTAATCCCATTTTACAGATGAGAAAAGCGAGGCCTTTGGAAGTTCGGTCAAACAGATAGCAAGATAGAATTCAAACTCCCATTTTCCTGAACTCATTTAATTGGTGCTTGATGAAAGAATGAATGAGCGAATAAATGAAAATACCTTCTATCCTAAGTCTCGGCACCTCCAGGGGCCAGGCTGGTGGCCAGCCCTCGTTTCCTCTCCCAGTCTGTTAAGGAGATCATAACAACGTTATTCCAGTGCTGAGTTTGGGTTAGACAAGACTCTTTTTGTGGTTAGTGTTGTTCTTATTAATAATAGTAATAACACTTTAGGATTGGGGGTCTGTAGGTCTTCAAGGCACTTTCCCACTTATTCCCTTGCAATAAGCTTATGATGTAGCTTAGGGTATTATTAGCCCCACTTTACAGATGAAGACACTGAGGCCCAGAGAGGTTGCAACTTGCCTGCCATCACACACATGTCTAATTAGTGGCACAGCCCAGACTAGAACTCAAATCTCCCAAACCCCAGCTGGTTCTCTAGACCAGCAAGTGGAGAAGTGCCCCGTGGGCAGCCTGGGACTCCCCCAGCTAGCCCACCCACAGACAGTCTTACCACACCGATGTCTGGGAGTCAGGACCTCGGGGGGAGCCAGGAGGAAGGTCGGGGAGTCCACCTGCCTCCTGTGCCTCCCTCATTAGAATGGGAGCTCCTTGGGGCACCCAAGAAATGCTTCTTGACTTGACTTAAACTCTCTGACCTCAGTTTCCTCATTTGTAAAAGTCCCTTCTAAAGTTGCTTCCAGATCTTAATCTATGACCCTGTGATATGGAGCCATGAGGAAAGCAAGGCCCAGGGAAGTGAAGGGATTTCCCCAAGCTCACACATCTTCAGGCTGAACTCAGATTCAAACCCAGGCCTTCTAACTCTAAGCCCAGTGCTGTCTTCCAGAGACATGGAGCCCTTCCCTCATACCTGTATCTCTCATGTGCATATCAATATCATACCTATTTACTGTGTATTTATCATCACCCTACCTACCCTTGGCAGGCTAGGTGGCACAGTGGATAGAGAGCCGGGCCTGGAGTGAGAAGGACTTGAGCTCAAATCTGGCCTCAGATACTTACTTGCTGTGTGACCCTGGGCAAGTCACTTCACCCTGTTTGACTCAGTTTCCTCATCTGTAAAATGAGCTGGAGAAAGAAATGGCAAATCATTCCAGGATCTTTGCCAAGAAAACCCCAAATGGGATCAAAAGAATTGGACATGAAACAACTAAAAAAAAAACCTACCCTCAACCTGTGAGCTAGTACAAGTCTCCCTATGTCATTCAACAAATCCAGCAATTCAGTAAGCATGTAGTAAGTACCTGCTGTATGCATGTTCTCCTAGAATAAGAGAAAGGTGTCAGAGACAACTGGCTACTTGCTGGCTGGATAATTTGGGCAAATCACTTAACTGCTCTCAGCCTCAGTCCCTTCATCTGTAAAATGGGATGATAATAATAGCACCTGTCTCTCAAATGAGATAACATAGCTATGTCGAACAGACCCAGTTTGGAGAGGGGGGTCAGCCCTCGCCCAAAACAAGGCCAGAAGTTCAGTCCAATTCTGCTGCCCCTCCAGAGAGGACCAGAGGAAGAGGGACTCTTGTTCTCTGGGTTCCTAGAGGAGACGGAAGGGGCCAGGAAGGAACAGAATGACAGGGGGGGAGACAGTGGAACAGAGGGGACCCCCGAGACCTGGAAGCGGCCCTAGAGTCCCACTGGGCCAGAGATATCCGACACTCAGCCACAAGAGGGGGACCTCTGACTCCAGATCCCATGCTCTTTGGTGAAGGGGAAAGGGGGAAGATGGAAAAGGAGATGAGGAGGAGGAAGAAAAAAGAAGAGGCATTGAAGGAAATGGAAATGATATTGTATAGAGAAAGAAAGAAAGATGGTGGCTGGGTAATGAGGCAGGCAGAGCACTGGGTCTGGAGTCAGGAAAACCTGAGTTCAAATCCTGTCCCAGATCCTAGCTGTGAGATCCTGGGCAAGTCACTTAACCTCTGCCTCAGTTTCTTCAACTGTAAAATGGGCATGATATAATAGTACCTACTTCTTAGAGTTGTTGCAAAGATCAAATGATATAGCCTGTAAAGGGCTTGGCCAACTTAAAAGTGCACTATAAACACTAGCCATCATGAGAGGGGTGATGGGATTGGGGCGGACATAAGATCGAGTGCAGGTCAAATGTCAGCACGCTGGGCCTTGGGGTGGGGGTGTGTGTCGTGTGTCTGTGTGAGCCAAGGTGGGGACCTCAGAGCTGAGTTCTGACTTCAGACGGGGGAGGCAAGGGGAGTGCTGGGGGGGGGTCAGCAGCCTCTTCTGGGCCCCCCCCCCCAGCCCTTCACCATTGCAGAGCTCACTCCTTCCGGCTGGAGAAAAGCTGTGGTCAGCCACAGGGCACTGAAGGCCAGGCCAGGGCTGGACTTGCTCAGACCTCTTCCTTCCCTGGGAGGCTCCAGGGGGATCATTCCTGATGTCAGTCAAAGCTTCTCAGCCCTTGGGGGATGGCTGGGAATGTGTGCCTTCCTGACCAGCTCCCTGAGAGAAGCTCTGAGCTCCAACGTGCAGACCATTGGCACAGCTGATGCGGGCCTGCCCCGGGCTGCTGACTCTGAGCCACAAGAGGTCAAGCTCTCTCTCCCCCTCTCTGTCTCTCTGCCGCTCTCTGTTGTCTCTGTCTCTCCCCTCTCCCTCTCTCTGTCTCTCTGTCTCCTCTCAGACACACACACACACACACACACACACACACACACACACACAGGAGATAATTAACAGAGGGGAGCTCTTAACGGGCTGGGGCCAGGGTTGGGGGGGCTTCAAACCCAGGTTTTCCTGCCTCAGTGGCAACGGCGCCACAGTCTCTGTAGGGTCTGAAGCTCCTCCCTTTCAGGGCTGACCTTGGGCGCTCCTAGGAGACGATGAGTGCAAAGCCCTTGAAGACCCTGTAAAGGGGAGCTGAGGTGGGGTGGGGGCAGCGTGGGCCTGGGTCTCATTCCCAGGTCTGACCCTTACTCAGTTTGTGACTACACACATGTCACAGCCTTTAGACCTGAAAGTGGGCCTCCCTTTCCAGGAGAAACATGGTGGACTCTGGGTGTGGAATGAGGCATGCATCACCAGCCATGGCCAACATGGTGCGGTATTTCATTCAATCATGCTTATTTGTTAACAAGGGACGGTTCTCTTTTTGGCAGGGGTCGGGCAGAGTTGTAACAAGAGTATCAATAAGATAGTTATTTAAAAAATAAAATAAAAACGCCGGATTTGGTGTCAGAAGGCCTAAGTTCAAATACGATATCTCTATGTCCCTGAGCAAGTTGCCTTACTTCTGTGGGCCTCAGTTTTCTCATCTGTAAAATGGGAGGGCTGGGCTAGATGACCTCAAAGATCTCTTCAGCCTCGGGGTCTGAGATGAACTGGAAATGTCTCTCCTCGCTCCCCTGGCCCAAGACAGCAGCCCTCCGGTGACCAGCTCTCTGTTTGCCTTGCAGTGGGACAGAGCAGCGTGAGCCTTGGGCCCCACCTCCACCACCACCATGTTGGCCTGTCTGCAGCGGACCCAGAACCCGCCCCCGCAGCACCTCCCATGCCCCAACAAGACCTTGGAGCTCCGGAAGTGTAAGTGTCGCAGTTGCAGGAGGGGTGGAGGGCGAGCACCTAGCCCCTGGACAAAGAGACACTTGACCTCCTTGGGGAGAAATGGTATCCCCACATCCTGGCCAGGGGGATGAGATCCCAGGCCTAGAACTCAGGCCCCTGGGGGCCAAGTTTCTTGTCTACACCAGCCTGGGAAGCTGGTTCTTCTGACTCTGCCATTCACTTTCAGCATGATTTTGAGCAAGTCACTTGCCTTCTCTGGGGTTCACTCTCATCCTTTGTAAAATGAGGTTAGACTAGATGATTTCTAAGCAAGAGTAGAAGCCTTGAGATGAAGAGGGCCTGAGTTCAAATTTTGTCTTTGCCTTTCTCTTTTTTCCTGGCCTGGGGAAAGTTACTTACCAGACTGTGTTACCTCCTCTGTCACATGGGGGTGGGGGTGGGGAAGAGCTGGCCTCCTTTACCCCCGGTCCAGGAACTTGCTTCTCTAATATTGGGGTGACTGTATCCCAATAGAATCGATTTCTTTTGCCGTCTTCTGCATTTCATCTCATGCATTGAAAAAGATGATTCTGTGGATAGAGCACTGGCCCTGGATTCAGGAGGACCTAAGTTCAAATCTGGCCTCAGACACATAACATTTACTAGCTGTGTGACCCTGGGCAAGTCACTTAACCCAATTGCCTAACCAAAAAAAAAAAAAAAAGAAAGAAAAGATCATTCCAAGAAGGGATCTCTAGGCTTCCCACGACTGCCAAGGGGTCGATGACACCATAAAATGAAGATCCCAGATCAAATATTGAGGGTCACTTTTATCTCTAAATTTTCTATTCTATTACTTCTCCTCTGTGTAGTTGGATATAGCCCATTGCCTGGTGGATCTGACTTTAGTCCTCAGTTGTTTCATCTGTACGATGGGGATAATAACACGTTACCTGCCCAGGCTGGGCCAGGGCCCCATACTTTTTAGGTCTCTTCTATCCCTAATCTTTGACCTTATCTGTATTCCAGCAGTCCTAATGGTTAGAGCCACCTGGGAATGGGTTGAACTCACTAAGTTGAACTCATCCCACCGAGGCTGAATGACTAGAACTCCGGCGTGGAGCAGGAGGCTCTACTCAGTTTAATTAACCACTTATAAACCTCTCCCCCTGTGCCAAGCACCGTGCTAAGAAGTGGGGAAAAGCAGAGCTTGGAATATAGAATGTCAGGACTGGGAGGAATCCCAAAGGATCATGTTGGGGAGGGGCCTCAGATCATAGAACCCAGAAGAGCAGAACTTAGTCAGACACTTAATAAGCGCCTACTGTGTGCCAGGCACTGGGCTAAGCACTGGGGATACAAAAAGACCCAAAAGGCAGGCCCTGCCCTCGAGGAGCTTACAATCTAATGGGGAAGATAATAAGCAAAGAAATATGGACAAACAAGCTAAATGCAGGAGAAAGAGGAAATAATTAAAGAGTGAGGGTACTAGAATTAAGAGGGGTCAGGAAAGGTTTCCTGTAGAAAGTGGGGTTTGAAGGAAGCCAGGAAGCAGAGTAGAGAAGGGAGAGAATTCTGGGGGTGGAGGATGGCCGGAGAGAACGCCCAGAGCTGAGATATGGAGGTCCTGCTTGTGGAACAGCCAGGAGGCGGTGTCCCTGCCTCGAAGAGTGCATGGGGGAGTAGGGTGTACGAATACGGGAAAGGTGGGAGGCGGCAGGTTATGAAGGGCTCTGAATGCCACACAAAGCATTTGATGTTTGATCTTGGAGGTGACAGGAAGCCACTGCAGTTTATTGAGTAGGGGGTGACATGATCAGACCTGCCCTTCATCATTTAGAGGCCGAACAGAGGATGATTGGAGCTGCAGGCAGACCCCCCAGCAGCTATAGCAATAGTCCAGGTGTGAGGTGATGAGGGCCTGCACCAGGGTGGGGGCAGGGTCAGAGGAGAGAAGGGGGCATATTGGAGAGATGCTGCAAAGGTAAAATCAGCAGGCCTTGGCGCCATATTGGATCTGGGGGGTGAGACATAGAGAGGAGTCCAGGCTGACTCCTAGGTTGGGAGCCCGAGGGACCGGGAGGATGGTGGTGCCCTCGAGAGTAATAGGGAAGGTAGGAGGGAAAGAGGGTTTGGGGAAAAGAGAGTGAGTTCTGTTTTGGACATGTTGAGTTTAAGATGACTACTAGACATCAAATTCAAGATGTCTGAAAGGCCACTGGAGATGTAAGATTGGAGGTCAGCAGAGAGATTGAGGCAGGACAGGTAGATCTGAGAATCATCCGCATAGAAATGGTCATTTAATCCATGGGAGTTTCACCAAGTAGTATAGAGGGAGACAAGAAGAGGGCCTGGAGAAAGATCCGGCAAAGGAGAGGGAGAAGGAGTGGTCAGAGAGAGAGGAGGAGAACCAGGGTGAGAGGGAGAGAGACAGAGACAGACAGAGACAGAGAGACACAGAGAGACGGAGACACAGAGAGATGTCCTGAAAGTCTAAAGAGAAGAGAATGATCCACAGGGTCAGGCTGCAGAGTTCAAGGAGAATGAGGACTGAGAAAAGGCCATTGGACTTGGCAGCTAAGAGATCATTGGTAACTTTGGAGACAGCAGTGCTGGTGGAATGATGAGGTCAGAAGCCAGACGCTAAGGGGTTAAGAAAAGAGAGAGGAGAGAAAGGCCTATAATAACAGCCTTTTGGAAGACTTTAGCTATGAAGGACAGAGGAGATAAAGGATGATAGTTATTGGGGATGGAAAGATCAAATGATGGGTTTTTCAGGGTGGGAGGGACACACCATGCTTGTAGGCAGAAGCGAATGAGTCGGGGAGACTGAAATAAGTGAGAGTGGAGATGCGGGGGGGGGGGGGGGGGGACCTGCTGGAGGAGACCCAATGGGATGGAGTTACCTGAGCAGGTACAGGGGTTAGCCTTGGAAAGGTTATATGGTCACTTTTTGTGAGATGGGGTGAAAGACAAAATAAGAATTTGGGAGGGGCCCTAGAACAGGGGATGTTAGAGCTGGGAGGGGCCTTAGAACAGGGCATGTCAGAACTGGGAGGGGCCTTAGAACAGGGCATGTCAGGACGGTAGGGGCCCTAAGAGATTCTCTAGATCAGAAGTTCTTAACCTAGAGTCCACAGGGTCTCTGAACTTTGATGCTGTGTCTTTAGGACCCTTTGGTAGCCTTCATAATCCCCTGCATTTTATTTGATATATTTAATTCTGTCGTTCTTAGAAAGGGTCCCCAAGCTTCACCAGGTTGATGGTCACAGGATTCCAGAATGACAAAAAGCCCCTCCCTGGCCTGGCCCAAAGTCCTCTGCGTGGTTCAGAGCCAGCCCAGTACCTCTGGGGATGAGCCCCCTAAAGGGCTCTGAGCTGAGACAGATGAGAGAGAACCCGGCTGACCAGGAATGGGGGGGGTTGGGGGGGGAGCAGCTGGAACAGCTGGGCCTAGAACCTTCCCCTGCCTGTGGAGAAGCCGCCGTGCCCCACCCTGGCTAGCCTCTCTCCCCCGCTCCCAGCCTGGGCTCTGGCCTCCTTGGATTCTTCTAGACTTATTGAAAGTGACATTGACTTTCCAGGTAATTAAAGAGACCAGGAAAAGAGAGGAGGGAGGAATGGACAGAGAGATAAGCAAATTAAACAGGGGGCCTGGGGCCTTCCCACAAGTGCCCCAGCTCAGCTGGTGACCAAGACAGGCAGGCCTGGCCCGGACCTAATGAGTCCAGAAAGGTGTGTTCCCCTCCCGCTCCCCCCAGGCTGAGTCTCCCCCCACACACACGCAGGGGGGCACAGGCAGGGACAGCATCTGGCCCCCCAACCCCATTTACCATAGGTTGATCCCCCCACACACACATCCAGGGGGGCACAGGCAGGGACAGCATCCAGCCCCCCCAACCCCATTCCCCATAGGTTGATCCCCCCCCACACACATCCAGGGGGGCACAGGCAGGGACAACACCTTTCCCCTACCCCCCAAGCACAGGCAGGGGGTGCAAAGCAAGAGCCTGGCATCACTCAGCTTGGGAGCTCTGACCCTGCTCCATTTATTCCCCTGAAAGAGCCAGGCCCTCAAGGCTAAGGAGAGGGGCAGCTCATGGCCTGGCCCACCCTCAGCAGAGGCAGGACTGGTAGAAGGAGCCAGAAGGCCTAATCCCAGATCTCTGCCCTTTGTCCCTCCCTCCAGCCACCTCCCCCTCTGGGCCTCAGTTTCCCTTTCTGTAAAAAAATGAGAGGACAAGACTTCACAGCTTTTGAGGTTCCTTCCAGCTTTCAGTCATCAGACCACAAATCTAGCACTGAAGGAACCTCAGGGTTCTAATCCATCCCCTGAATCTTTAGAGGAGGGACCTGCAGCCCAGGACGGGGAGTGACCTGGGATCTAGAGTCAGGGGTTGGAAGGGACTGACAAGTCTCTGGTGTGGCCCATCCTCCCTGCCCTTGAGTGGGGAAGGCTAGCAGAGCTGGGCAGAGGGAGTGGGGGGCCACCACCAAACTCCTTCCCTCCTCGACGTCCCATCCCCAAAGGGCTCTGGCCACTCGCCGGGCTCCACAGCAGCCCAGGCTGTCTCTCCAGGGCATTGGCACCTGGGTCCCGTTTGTAGCAATGGCACAGGAGCCCGTAGCAGGCGCGCAGGCGGGTTGATGCCAGGTCAGGCCCAGCCAGCATGGCTGTTAAGTCCTATTAGCCTGCCAGGCCTTTGATTAATTTGGGGGTGAATCTCACCAAAAAGGTGAGATGACTCATTTCCCTGCCTGAGGGCTGCTGGCATGTTGGGATCCAGGTACCATCCTCCCCTCCCAGTCCTTGCCCTGGGCTGACTTCACTCTTTCTGGCCCCACCCCCACTTCCCTGATGAATGTCTGTCTTTCTTCTAAACCTGACCTTGGCCTGGTCCTCTGCAGGTAGCTCTTATATCCCTGGGCAGATGGAAAACAGGTTGGCAGACGGAGAAGAGCCTTAGAACAGGGAATTTTAGAGCTTGGGTATCTAGTTCAATCCCTCTCCTCTATTTTGCCAAGGAGGAAATTGAGAC